AGTTCTGCGTCGGCGTGATTTGCTTCGCTTCTCTGCTGCACATTTTAATGCACAGAGCAGAAGTGGGCTTTTTTTTTATTTTTCAATGCACGTAGTTAATGTAGAAGCACTGTTGTTAATTCACACGTTGACAGCCCTCCTCGTAACGAAACTGCTGGTTTTTCTGCTATGAAAAAATCCCTAGTGCTGGGCCGACATGAGCAGAGTATGTGGGAGGATAGAGCGGTGCGGTGCAGAACGGGTGTCTTCTCGTGAGCTCTGCCTGACTTCTCCTGGTCATTCCTGCTGTCCTTCTGCCAAGCTCCCTTAATCCCAGGAGTTCTTCTCAAGGGGGATCCCTGCACCACGAAGGTGCTGACACCAACAGCTCGGTGACAAGTGCTCTTGCTGCCTGCTGTATTCGCTGCGATGAGCAAGCCCCAGCAAGCATTAGGTACTGCTCAGCTAACGCTGCTTTATTGTTATATTAGTAATGCAAAAATATTGTTATTATATTAGTAATGCAAAGGAATTGCAAAAGGTACAGGTTTAGGTAGGCTGCTTGCTGTCTTCCACCGACTGCCTGCCACTTCAGCCTCCCCAGCAGCGACATGTTTTGCTTATAAAAAGTGCCAGGAATGGGTCATCTGTCACACTTCACCCTGCTGAAGCCATATGGTGGTTTGAATGGTCGGTATCTTCATGCAGCAAATTGAAAATCCAAATAAAACAATTGCCAGAACAAACTGAACAAGGAGTTATGAAGTCTTTCTGTGGCATGTGATAATTACGTGATACCTGAAGTTCTCTTATTGGTCAGAACTCATGGCCGTACTTGATTTTATTCAGAAGTAAACATAATGTTTTCTGTACAAGAAATCCCTGTATTTTGTACAGCCTGGGAAAAGATTAGTCTAAAAAAAAACCCAACCCAAATCAGCCTCCTCCCTGTCTGTACACTGTACATTCTGACAGCAAAGCGACATAACGCGTCTGGAGAAAACCCGCAAAGCAGATTTAGAAAGTTAAAAATTAGGAAAAAACACGTCTTGGGAATGAAACAAGGACCCCAAGCAAGTTCTCCCTCTGCCCTCAACTTGCTGCATTTCCTATTCTTGCTTAATAAGCAGGCAGCCGGCAGCTGTTGGCAAAGCTTGAAAATAGCAGCAGCGTGTAGCGTGTCAGAAAGGGCTCGGTGCCTGTTTTGGTCAGCGGGGCAGGAGCAGCTCCCAGGGCAGGTTATCTATAGGCTGGCCCTGGCCAAGGAGCGCTGCCTGTCCCGGCCATAAATAGCACCAAGAAATCCACTTCTCAGGAGGGGTGTGTGTGTGTGTGTGTGTGTGGAAATGTTGGTTTTACTCCAGCGTGAAACGATAACACAAGCGTCTGCTAAGGCAGGAGGACTCCAACAGCCTGCCCAGCCTTTGACGCTGGCTCCTGGAAGTCTTCTTTCTGCTTGTGTTGGAATTACCCCCGTGCTGTCTGCTAGTGCCTAACGACCGCCGCAGCAAGCAGCATTAACGAGATGACTGCCCTGAGACCCATGTGTGCGGTTTCGGTGATTTGGAAGCCGTAATATAAAAGTTACATCCTTGATTAGAAGCAGAAGTGCCGTGCTAATGGTCCTTGGGTATTTAATTCCCAGGCAATGGGTCGTCTGTGGTGCAGACCCTCAGGATGGATTGCCATTCAGCGTTGCTGAGCACGCAGGAAATATTTCCCTGGCAGGAAGTTTTGCCGACATTCAGAGAGTAGCAAAGCCTCAGACTTTGCCATCTGTCCTTCCCTCTGTCCTGATCCAGCACGGGCCGGGATGTGAGGAGGTGTGATGGCCTCATGCAGCAGCTGTGTGAGCCAGGAGCTGGGGGAAACGATGTCCACACCACAATGGAGAGTTTTGTCCATAAACCACATCCAGGGGCAGCAGCCTGAGGTGTGAAAAGCAGCTGGGCCGTTTCTCCCCGAAGTGGTGCATGGTGAGGGATGGCTGTGGTTCTCCCAAGCCACCCTGTGCAGTGGCCGGGATGCTGTCCCTGCCAGCCACGCTGGAGAGCAGAAACCAACCTTGGTGTCAACAGCGTCTCAGCCCAAACCAAACCATGGAAGATGTTTCATTTGCTGAGTACTTTTATTCCCTGGCCCTTCCTACACAAAGGCTCAGTCCACAAACGCAGTCCCACCAGCAGATGCATTTCAGCCAAGCTTCCTAAGGAAGCAATGATTGTGCAAATCAGCCAGCCTCAGCCATCTTCCCCATCCCCTTTGAGTTTGTTGGCCAGCATCAAGCACATTTAACGGAGCAACAACAACAACTGGAAAGGCCTTATCTTCTTGTAAGACCTGTGAAAGGAGGCAGCTGGGTGCAGGGCAGGGACTCAGAGATTGCTCCTCCAGAAGGAAAACAAGATCTCTAGAGGAGCATTGCTCCTCCAGGCTCTGCAAGGTATCCATGAATATAGTGGGACACACCTGGAGCTCCCCAGGTGTAGGAAGGCAGGTTTTCAGCTCTGCTGCTCAATGAAGTCACTGTTTGGCTTGAATATTTTCTCCTCTTTGTCCCCAGAGAGAAGAGCAGGCTGTGGTTCTGCCGAGGAATGGGCTGGAGGGATGAGCTGCCACATCAAGATTCAAGCTGGGATTCCCACAAGGCTGTGCCTGTCGAGTGAGGCAAAAGTTATCAATTTGAACGTGCCAATTAATGTTCAAATTGCTTTTCAAACAAGGCTTAAACCCAGGTAACTTCTCCTGTCCTGACAGGAGAACTACAACGCTCGTATGGGCACAGTGCTAGGACTCTCCCTTGGAGTTAAGGCTCCCTGTGGCTTTAAAAAATGTAAAACCCCCTTTTTAATGTTAAGAATCGAAATGTTGTCTTGTGGCTGGAAGCGCCTGAAAACTGTGAATTATATTTGGCGGGAAATGCTGCTGTTTGGACTTTTGACCTGCGTGGCTAATTGTCGGGCCCTTTTATTGCAAACGCCAAGGCGGGAGCAGGCGGTGCCTGCCAAAGTGTGCGGCTGGAGCTGGAGTAAACCTGGGGTTTTGTGATTGTATCGACATGAAGATCAATTTCCTGGTTTATCTTAAAATGCCTTGAATCTATCTCATGTGTGTTTAATTCAAGGCGTGACCCAAAACCTATTAACCCACGTCTGCACTTGGAAAATTTCGGGATATGAAATATCCGAATATCAGCTTAAAGTATAGCACAGGGGAGTTGAACATGCAGAATCCTTGTAAAAGCAGCAAGAGAGAGATGCTCTGGCTTCCCTCGGAGTAAAAAATCCCAAGGCCCAAAGACAGGAGGCTGTATTTTGTTTGAAATGTTTGTATTTTGTTCATAAAAACATAGGTGATGCAATGTAGCCTGGGTGTGTGTGACGGGGCAGGAGGCTGAAATGGGTTCAAGGCTTTTTCCTCAAAACACCTGCCATGTAAATACCAAGAGTTTTAATCGTGTGTTGCTTGGTGGCATTCGATTCATCCCCAAAGCCAAAGGCTTGCTTGAGGGAAATATTTTGAGTTCTGAGGATATAATTTATGGTGATGACTTACCAATAACCCAAGAACGGGGTGACTGGGCTGTGTGAGCAATGGGGTGCTTTGATCCCCCGCTGCCCCAGGGGTGGTACGGCAGGAGGGGCTTCCTCAGAGGCCCCCAGAAAGCAGATCCGAGGTGATACTGCGGGGAAAGCTGACACAAAACGATAAATACAACCCAAATCATTTTCAACTAATCTAGAAGAAACTAAACTGTGGGCTTACTTTTCAAAATTTTGTGGAGTCTGCAGTTTATGAGCAGTGCGTGGTCAAGAACTGAGCAAACATAATGAAATGACTCTCTAAAGCAATTATTTAAAGAGGTCCAACTTCTACAAATATGAGAAGTATTGTCCTTGCTGAGGATAAACTTAATTACACTAATAGGTAAGAAAAGGTTCTGACAACTTATTTAAAGATATAAACTGACAGCATAGGAAATAGTGTTTTAGAAGGACGTGTCAAATCTGTGCCAGTTCAATGTTTTAATATCTCAATATAATTCCCACTGGCTATAACTAGAACTATAAAGACTAATTAATACTGCAAACGTTTACCATCTTTGCTTGATATTGTCTTCTAATTGCGTGTATCTGCTAACCAGGTGAGTATAAATGTTAATGCAAGAAGGGAATGTTATTTTATGTCTAAGAACAAGGTGACAACCATGTCTGGGAACAAACCCTGCGGGGTCCGAGCTCCCACCTGCCCGTCCCACTGCTGCCCGGAGGGGAAAAACAATCTGCCATCTCTGATTCCACACTCTTTGGACTATTTTTTAACCTATTTTTATAAGGCAACAAGATGGAGAAGAAGGGCAGAGCGAGATACTCAGCAATTTCATCTATTTGTGCATTTACATGGATACATGCAAGCATAAATTTGTGTCTGGGGTCACGCTTTACTCAGGTGTATCAGTATGCTCTGAAAGTGTTTTAACTGCTAATTAAACTCTGTAACTTTGCTGTAGCCAGCCTGCATTATTTAATCCTCACATAAGCGCTGCACATGCCCCGTGTTTGTTGCACATGGGAAATATGCACAAGGCGGAATTGGTTAAAAAATAAAAAGAAGTCAATGGATTTTTTTTTTCCACTGTTTTTCCCTCAGAGCACCCTTGAGCTGACCGGTTTCTCCCCCGAAGGAGAACCGGGACGGGTAGGCCGCGCCCCCCGCCCCTAGCCAGCGGGCGGGAACGGGGGCGAATGGCGCCTGCCGCCAGGCTTCAGAAAGACAGGTTAAAAAAAAATAAAAATAAAGAGGCTCATGGCGTCAGGTTTGATGTCACCGCTGCTGGCAAACCCTGTCCAGGGCCCGGGGACGCGGGCCGGGGCGGCGGCGATGGCGGCCACACACAAAGCGGGGCGGTGCATGCTGGGAGTTGTAGTCCGGCGGGCGGGAGCGGGCGGCGGCAGGCGGTGGCCGCCTACTATTCCCATCGTGCCCCGCGAAAGGAGGAGGAGGGGGGGGGGGCGTGAGGTGCCCGGATGTGGCCGGCGCCGGAAGAGAAGCGGGTCTCTTCGGGGCCGGCCATCTTGTGCGGCAGCGAGCAGGGCGCGGGGGGCCCGGCAGCATCGGAGGAGGATCCCGCCGACGGGGGCCCATCATGCCCGGTCACCTGCAGGAGGGCTTCGGCTGCGTCGTCACCAACCGCTTCGACCAGCTCTTTGATGACGAGTCCGACCCCTTCGAGGTGCTGAGGGCGGCCGAGACCCGGAGGAAAGAGAGCGGCGGCGGCGGCGGGAGCCAGGGGGGCGGCGGGGCCCGCGGAGGCCCGGCGGGCGCCCAGACCAACTCCTCCGGCGGGGCTGGCGGCGGCGGCAGAGGGGCCCGGCTCCACTGCACCTTCAGTCCTTTTCTCTCTGCTGAAACTGCTGGAGGAAGACTGAGGCGGCGGTGGCGGCGGGAAGGCCCCGGGCAGGGCCCAGGCGGCGGCGGCGGCCCCGGGCCTCGCAACCACGTGTGGGAGCGCATGGCGGGAGGAGGCCCCGGGAGGCGGCGGAGCTCCGGGAGGAGCGGCCACACGTGTCCCCGCCGCCCGGGCCGCTCAAAATGGAGTCGGGCCTACCCGGGGGTGCCCGGGAGCTGCCTCCCGGGGGTGCCCAGGGCACGGCGGAGGAGAGGGGGGGCTGCAGGAACGTGGAATCCCAACGCCTCAGCCTAAACCGAAATGGCGTTCGGGGCCACCGGGCGGCTCTGGCAGGGTGTCGGGCGGTCCCGGGGCTTCTCGCAGCTCGCGTGGGTTGTTTTTCTTGGGAACGGTGGTCAGAGCCTGGCCCGGGTTGGCCAGAGAAGCTGTGGCTGCCCCATCTCTGGAGGGGTTCAAGGGCAGGTTGGAGGGGGCTTGGAGCAACCTGGTGTGGTGGGAGGTGTCCCTGCCCAGGGCAGGGGGGTGGAACTTCATGATCTTTAAGGTCTTTTCCAACCCAGACCATTCTGTGATAGAAATTATGCGTGTGTTTTAACAATATATTATGTGAATTCTCGGCCACCTTCGTGTAAACCCATAAGATATTCCGCATGGGAAACTTTGTGGAGGAAAAAAAAAAGTATAAAGAGGTGAAATGAATAGTCTGTGGGCAAAATAATGAGTAGGACAGAGCTCTGCGTGCAGGGGGATAGATTCTGTGGGTGCAGGTGGGCCCATGGCAGGCGGTTGTACGGCACACGAACTTGGGGCACGCGGCAGATCGGTGCAGGACTGGGATTAAATTGGAATCCTTGACATGCATGGAAGTGCGGTGACAGCGGTGGAGGTGCGGGTGAGGAGATGCCACCTGCAGTTTAACTCCCAACCATCCTTTCGGGAAAAAGCAGCCAGTTCAGGAGAGTTATATGAAAAGCATCTCGATACTTTAGAGTTTACTGCAGTGCGTGTTGCAAAATTATCCTCTGCCGCCTTTGATGCTTTTATAAGAAAGAAACTTGTTTTAATACAGTAGTTATTTTGGAAAATAGGCATCCCAAATGTTAGTTGAAAACACCTTGTGAGAAGCAGAAGGCAGGGGCTGCGTTACGAGACTCTTGGCTTATGGATCTTTTGGATTTTTAACGCTTGAGAGCTTGTTTTTGTGTTTTGTTTTGTGGTTGTTTTTTTTTTTTTTTTCCCTGGGAGCAATAATTTATCCCGAGTGGCGATTTGCTCTGGAAATATTTGTCAGCCACAGAATATTGGTGTCGTCCCCGGCGAGGGAAACCCTGAACGTTGTGCAGTGGGTTTGGCCCACAGGAGGGAGGGCAGGGGGGGGTTCAGTGGGGCCAGCTGTCCCTGTGTGTTTACCTCCCGGTTTTCACATTCGTTTTCAAGACCAAGCACTACTTTGCTATAAAAAAAGGTATTTGGTGGCTTATTATAGCTGCGAAACAGAGAAAGGCAGGTCTGCTTTTGCAGCAGTGCATCTCTGTAGTAAACAAAGTCACTTTCCAGTTTGAAAATGTCTTTTTCTGGGGGGGGTGGACGACGATGACAGTTCTTTTAACAATATAAAGGCAGTAAAAGTCATTTATCGACGGGGTTTCTTTCCTGTGTGAAGGTATTGCAGTTTAAAACTATTCTCCTACTATGTAAAGGTGCAGATTATTTGTCTGGTGAGTTAGCAGTTCAAAGCTTTGTGATACTAAGAAATAAAAAAAGAAAAAAAAAAAAGAGAAATAACTTGTATTTTTGGTTAGGCTTCACCGGGGACCGGGTGAGCACAGGGTGTCAAACTCGAAATTCAAAAGCCGTGGATTATTCATTCCAGTTCTGCAACATACCTTTAAAAAAAAAAAAAAAGCCTGTTTGCTTTCCTTGCTGAGCTTTAGGTCTTAAAACCAAATGGTCCTCCTTAGTTTGAGAAGCCTTTTCAAAGTAAATGTGAGTGAGTTTAACCCCTGCGTTTCCTCGGGGAATAAAGGTGATGTAGCAAGCCATGTGTGTCATGCAAAGCTCACCTTAAATACAGCTTGGAAGGTGAGGAAGACATTGTTCCTTTGGGTGTGTTGGCTTGGATATCATTACAACTGTAGCTTCTTTAGCCCCACCCAAATATGACATTGCTTGTTAGGCAGGAACTTAGTCCTTTTTTAAAAAAAAAAAAAAATTTAAATTGGCAGCTTTAAATTTAAAGGGTAATTCACATTTCTTAAGCCAGCGTTACTGTTTTTCCCCTCAACCTTTTGGCAAGAAAATAGTATAACAAATGAGTGGTGTGTTTGTTCAGATCTTTCTAAAGAAGAGTAAACGGACCTTTTGGAGGAGTGGAAAAAAAACCCCTGTATTTAAG